AAACGCAAGAGAAGGAAACACTTCCCTACATTTTAAGAGGTTAATTTAGCCTTGCTATCAAAACCTAACATATCACATTTGAAAATCAACCAGATCATTCAATATTTAGATAAAATAAATTAAAAAGATATAGGATCAATCAATGCAAAAAATCATTTAATGAAATTCCATACCTGTTCATGATTAAAAAAATATATCAAAAAGTAGGAATAGAAAAGCACTCTCAATTTGATAAAGGAAACCTATGTCTACCATTTGATAGGGACATAATTAACCCCTTCCCCCAAGGGCTGTCAGCTCTCCTCACTTCTAACAATATATGTTCAAGGTCCTAAAACATCAGTGTAGTGGTATAAGAAAAATATAAATATAATTGTGTAATGCAAAAAAAAGTACATGTATAAAGTCATGAATTGGTATGAACATACATTATACAAAGATATGAAAATTGTACTCTATATGTGTAATAAGAATTGTAATACATTCTGCTGTCGTGTATTTAAAAAAAATCAATTTAAAAATAAATAAATAATAAATAAATCCCAAAGGCACATCCAATGACCCATCTCCTCCAGCCACACACTACGTACCTTCAGTTACCTCCCAGTTAATTCATCTCAGTGGATTCATGCATTGATTAGGTGAACATACTCATGACCCAGTCATTTCACCCCCTTGCATTATCTCACACATGAGCTTTTGGGGGACAGCTAATACCTAAACAATAACACCTGGTCTCAAATATTTCAGCATAGTAATAGAAAATGGACTAATGTGATATGATCAATTGATTTTCATGGCATTTCACTGAGGAAAAGAGAATCTTTAATAAAAGATTCTGGAAAAACTGGATAAACACACAGAAAGAGAATAACTCAACCCCCTAACTCATTTAACGAAATTCCATACCTCTTCATTATTTTTAGAAACCAATGTGGGATGTATCAAAGCTATATATAAAATTGAGGCTATAAGATGTAGAAGGAAACAGGAAAATATTTTTGCAACTTTGTGTTGGGCAAGATTTCTTTAAAGATACAGAAAGCACTAGTCTAAATAATGACAAACTGAAATTCATCAAATTAAACTTCAGCTAATCAAAAAGCAACCACATCGGTGAATCTATATGAGTCTTTGTATTATGCTTGATACTTTTCTCTATGGTGGAAATTATTTTCAAATAAAAAGTTTTTACTATGCTATTAAGAAAATAGGGAATAAAAGTCTGGGGGTATTTCTAAGTGGTAAAGAGCCTGCTTAGCATGCACAACACCCTGGTTTGGATTCTCAGCACCACAAAAAAAAAATCAATATACATATGTTTTGTGTGTACATATATGTATATGCTCAATGTCCTAAAATATCAGTGCAATAGAGCAAAAAATTAAACAAAAAGCATAAAGACTGAAAAAGAAGAAGTCTGTATTCTATGAGGACATGATTACTAATGTAGAAAATTCTCAGAAATATATGAAAGCTACTAGAACACATGGCTAAATTAATATACACATATATATACACACACATACATATATGCACACAAAACATATATATATACATGTGTGTGTGTATGTAAGTCAAGAAAGCATTCACTATACATATATCTGACAAAGAACATGTCTCCAAAATGTATAAAAACTTTAACAATTATGAGAAAACAACACAATAAAAGTTGAGTAGAAGATTTAACAGATATTCCACAATTGGAGCTATATCAGTCAACATTACAATAATGCTTAATATCATTAGTCAAAAGAGAAATGCAAATAAAACCACAATTATATAAATTTCATACCAACTAACAATGGCTAAAATTTAAAATTCTAATAGCATCAAAAAGTGAGGGTGTGGAAACATTGTAACCACCCTGAAAAGCTGTTTCTATAAAATTATATAAATATTTTCCTCAAGAACTCAACATTTCCATTCCTAGTTATTTATCAAGAGAATGAAAATACATGTCCGTGACAAGATCTTGCCAGCATGTTTATACAGGTTTTATTCATTAGAAAGCAGAACTGAAATCACCTCAAATGTCCATCAGTAGGAAAATGGATAAGTTATTGGATATACATATAAGACTCAGCAATTTTTTAAAATATCACCATTGATACAGTGCTACAGCATGAATTTTTAAAATGTCATGCTAAATGAAAGAAGCAGACAAAGAAGAGTATATTCTACACCATTCCATTTGTAAGAAATTAATAATCAGATAACAGAGTGTTTGCCCATGGGTGAGGATCAACTAGAGGGGGCCAGAGGGAACTTTCTAGGCTAATGGGCATGTCTTATATTTTCACCAGAGTGGTAATTACATGAATGTATACAGTCATGCAAACAATGAAATACACTGATCATACACTCAAATCTGTGCATTTCAGTTACACAACTGTCATCCAGCAGCAACACAAGAGACCGTGACTATGTTTATTATATCCATTAATTGTGTAGTTTAGAATGTGGCCCTCTTACACACTCCTTTCCTTGGCATAAGGGCCCTGCAAGATTTGGCTCCTTCCTACCTCTCTACCTCATGTTCTTCCCTTCCTTACCTACCAGCTCAGACCTTGCTGGTGCGGCTTAAAGTAGATCATTTCTTGCTATCCTCTAGTTAGTCTCTTATTTCTTTCTTTCATCGAATTTAGGATAACTTTTAACTATTTTGTCTCTTTATACTTTTATCACCTGACTTTTCCAGTAGCATACAAGCTCCAGGAGGGTGGGACCTTGTCTTTGTCACCATTGTGTTGTTGATGTGTCTCTAGCACATTCCCTGGCTCAGCATTTGTTGAATGTGAGAAGGAATGAATGAATGTTCCTAAAGTTCCATGTGCCAATGAAGTGACAGTATACTGACACATTTCTCTGTTGGGAGTTTGATCTTCAGTAATTTTGATAAAAATCATACACTCTTATCCCTACAAGCAAAGGAAACCTTTAATAAAATCATGTCACAGGCGAGTCTTTGGTTTATGCGGTCCCTCTTTTCACTTCCTTTTCTTTCCTGAGTCTCAGGAGCCTTTCCCTCTCTTCCCTAATCAGAACTTCTTACAGGAGAGACCTAGGCACGTCCTGATGACAATGCTTTCCAAACGTATTTAATCCTATACCCCACTAGTAAAATATTCACACATACCTACCACATGGTACATTCATTTACCTTGAAAATACAAATCTATGTTGCTGAACTACTATGTAATGAAATGTGCCTAAAAATAACATTTTTTTAAAGGATGGGATGAAAGTTCTAATGTTTTCTTCCTGCACTTCAGTGGTTGGTGGTGTACCCCCTGTACCCACCATGTGCTCATGCCACATTCAAGATTGTGCCTTAGGATGAATGAGATCCTGCATTTACTTATGCATCTAAGTATAATCCTACAGTAGTGTTAACACTGTGACATTCTAGCTCTGTGTTATGGTTTAGATATGAGGTGTCCCCCCAACAGCTCATGTGTGAGACAGTACAAGAATTTTCAGAGGTGAAATGATTAAGTTATGAGAGCCTTAACCCTAACCACTGATATGGATTAACTGGGCAGTAATGTAAGCAGGTAGGGGGTGGCTGCAGGAGGTAGGTCACTGGGGCGTGCCATTTGGGTTTATATTTTTTCCCTGGTGAGCAGAGATCTCTCTGCTTCTTGCTGCCATGTCCTGAACTGCTTTTCTCCTCCACACCCTCCCGCCTTGATGTTCAGCCCTCACCTTGGGGCCTGAGCAATGGAATCAGCCACACATGGACTGAGACCTCTGAAACCATGAACACCAAATAAACCCTTCCTCCTTTAAATTTGTTCTTGTCAGATGTTTTGGTCACAGTGGTGAAAAGGCTGATTAAAATATTCTGATTATGGACTTAAAGCTTTATGAGGTCTCAGTGTAGGAAGAACAGAATTTTTAGGTCTGGAGTATACCCTGGAATCATCTCACTTAATTTTTGCTGCATTTATTCCTGACATTGTTTAATGACATTTTTCCCACAACAGGGTATGTAGACTGCTTTAGAGGGACGCAAAAGATGAAATCAGAAAATTGGAAGGAAGAGACGTGAAAGAGCTATAGAAAAGGCTATGTTGATTTTTAAAAATAGTTAATTCTATACTAAATATTGACAATAGTGTATTTCAGTGAAACATCTCTTTGGAGGATGGCTAATTTTTAGAAAATTAGCAGTGTAATACACGTAGACCAAATTGCCAAACACAGGGAAAAAATCATTTATTCTCAGATGAAAGGACAGTTTTCAAGAAAGCATCAATTCTACAATATAGCAGCCTGAGACAGGCTTGGAGATTTTCAGCCCGCTGTGTTACCTCTGAGACCTAAAGGAAGCAGAACATAAAAATGAGCCTCTATCAATTTGAAGCAAACCTAATCTTTGTGATCATGGCTGTGGTCTAAATCTATTAAAGATGTTCAAATTCAGTGTCCTTGGTATCACTGCAGGTTGACCTGAAGAGTGAGCAATAAGCTTGTGTATTATAATTCTAGTTGGAAGATATGTGCTTAGGAAGTGAAACCGACATTCGGTGTTTTGTGTGTATCTCTAAGCAGACCAAGAGCCTATATAAAATGACAGGTGCATTTTTAGGGAAAGAAACCCATAATGTTTTCCTATTTAGTAGGTGACAGTATGTCCCAAGATAACACAAGCTTAAGGGGCTGGAACAAGCATGGTTATTAAAGGCTAGCAGTTTCTCAGTTCATACAAATTGAATTTTTTTCATAGGCTGGAGGACAGTGGAAATCTAGTTGCAGAGTACTGAAATAAATTAGCATATTAAGTGGATTTATATATTCAGGCTTCTGAGCACTTTGAATCTAAGGAAGAAATTTTATTACTTCTTAAAAGAAAACGGCAATTCTAAAATTCTGTGTTCGAACTCCCTGTTGGAAAGGGTCTATATGATAAATTATATCATTTTAATGATGATCCAAAGAAGTGGTTATTAAATTGATGGGAGTCTTTGTCTCTTCTGTCTTGTCTCTTCTTTTAGAATTACTGATTTAGGGAACATCAAAAGAAGATTGTATTTATCAACGGTCCATAAGGAACTATCCTCAACCCCTCTTCATGCAAAAATCCCACTCTTTATGATCAAGCGCAAAATTGTAAGTATCACACAAATGTTGCCTAAAATATTAAATTTATAGAGTAAATACCAATCATGGGCCTACTGTGATGTCCTAATATGAGGACATTTGTTCAGTACCATCGTGTACAAAAAAATGAAAATTCATGCCCTTCCTTCCTCTCCCTTGAAATCTACTAGGTGAAAGAATGTTGTTTAAACACTATGTCACCAACCTGTGATAGAAAGTACAGGGGAGAGAAAAGGTGCTATTGGAACTGTGGAAAGAATTGTAAAAGAGAAAGAAATCTGTCTGGCTACCAGAAGAGGAAAGGCTGTATGAAGGAGAGAGCACTTAGTATGCCCTTGGAAGGACTGGAAGATCTCAACAGGGACAGATGGAGAGCCAGGCATTCCAAGAGAAGGAATAGCATAGGCAAAAACGTAGGCTGCATAGTGGTCCATCTCTAGGGGACTATGGTTTGTCTTTGGGGGACAGTGGTCCATCTTTGGAGGAGAATGGTCCATCTATGAGGAATAGTGGTCCATCTTCTATGGGAGAGTTGTCCATCTTTGGAGGACAGTGGTCCTTCTTTGGAGGACAGCAGTCCATCTTTGGAGGATAGCAGTCCATCTTTGGAGAACACAGAACTAGTAATTGTTACCAGCCTTAAAAATAACCTAAGAAATATCAGTCCTGCTACAGCCTAATAGATTTCAGGAGATTGCAGGTCTGTTGTGTAACTTCTGAAGGGCTTGATCTGACTGAGCAGTATTTCTCAAATTTAAGTCATTTTGCTACTACTCTCTGTACCATGTTTATGTATTACCTGTTTGAGGATATGCCTGATGCTTTCTTTTAAGTTGACTCACTTTCCTTTGGCTGAAATTTATTTTAAAAGAAAACTTTGTATCGCTCTGAGGAATGGAAAATCAGTACAGTTTGCAAAAAAATAAAATAAAATAAAATCTAAAATAAACACGCAAAAACCAACGTAGTATTTTAATATCTAGCTAAATAGGGTTTCTTATTAAAGGCCCTATTCTGAGGATTGTTCTTTGTTTAAAATAAAGTTTATTAAGGATTAGATACATGTAAAATATTTATTTCTGGCATAGTTAGGGACTGAAAGAATATTGATAAGAGGGAAATTTTTATTCTGTGATTATTTAATGTCATTTAATGCCACTCCCATATAATATCTAAAATCATCTCCCAGATGGTACATGTTCTACTCTTTGGGAACCACTATGATAGAGAAAAGAAGCCCATTAAAGCTTTTGGAGTAGGAAAGGAATACAGTCAGTTCTGGCTTTGGGAAGATTAATATTTGCAATGATTTGGAAGGGTAGGAAAGCAAAGTTGAGGAGACCATTTGCTACATTACAGATTAAAGTTAGTGAAGACTAGGTGGTAGCAGCAAGGAATGGTATGAACCAACATCAGAAATGTATGTAGCTGAATGAGCTACGACCCACGTCAACAGAATTCCCACATATGCTTATATGTGGTATATGCTGTGAGAGCAAGAACAGAGAATCTGGGTTCTGAACCCTACTACAGCACAGAATCTAGGCTCTGACAATTCTTCTACATTTTTATTAAATATGTAATGTAAATAATATATAAAGGTTAAGAACTTAGAATCTGAGTTCTGACACTCCTGTACAAATTTCTATGTTCATTTTCCTCATCTATAAGATGCAGCTAATATGAAGTGTATACACCCACCATTAAGGCTGTTGTGGGGATTTACATGAGTTAATAAATCTAAGGTTCTTAGAATAATGCTGGTATAGTAAGCCCTTGGCAAGGATTATAGATCCCATTTACTCTTTAAATGCTATTTCTTCCAGGAAGCCCTCTGTGATTTCACCCTCTTGGATCAGATGTTTTGGGGACATCTCGCCATTCACAATTTCATAACCTTCCTAATACTTCTCCACTGTGCACTTTAATTGAGTATCTCCTTGTCTCCCCCATTATACTATAAGCATGTCTTAGTGGGCTTCTATCCCTAGGCCCTATCAGTACGTAACACATAGAAAGTGCTCAATAAATGTTTGTTGAACAAACAAGTAAGTCTTGATGTGCTTTATAGAAGTTAAAAATAATGAGGTTTTCCTGGCCAAAGTTCTAAATATGCTCCTCATATTTGATTCCACAAATGTTCAGGAGTGTTCAAACACATATTAAGAAATCCTTGCCCTCATTTCTGTTTCCTCCCAATCAGACAGGTGTCTTTCTGTCCTTTGGCAACTAGTGGATATTTTTGTTGGTAAACCTCAAAACAGCATTCTAAAAGCACATCAGCTTTAGAAAACAGGAGATTTCACAATAAAGTTCCTGCTTTCTAACCTCTTTTGAAAAAAAACACACATCTGTACCCACTGAGCCTGCCTTTTTGCACAACAGTCAGCTTGAGCCAAGTGGCAACCGCACCCTCTCTGGAGAGCTGGGCGTGGTCCAATGAACTTCAGTCCTCTCTACTCTCAAAGTGCGCAGGTGCGTGCAGACCCTTTTGCTTCACTCATTCAAGTCCTCTGCCTGGGCCCTCCAGGTGTTCTGCTTGCCACACCCGATTTAGAACTTAATTGCCAAGTGGTCCATTCTTCCTTGGTTCTTTGGACTAAAGCCTTTACGTAGCCAGAGGCAAAAATTAAAGTTAATATTTTTATAGCTAAACCAACATGAATATTTACATATAGGCCACTTTCTGTTCAATGACCTTTAAATGTTAATCTTTCCGATTTATTTTTCATGCTATTCTAAATTTTGAGGAGTCACTTTAATATTTAAATTATAGCAATCAATATGTTTGAGTTTTCAATGGCAATAACAATTAAAAAATTAATAACCATCAGATTAAACAATGGAAGTACCCACTTATTCGGAACTCACTGGAATCAATTTTACTTCTTAAATATAATTTCAGTTAGTTGGTGATGGTGTCAGATGAACATCAACATCTTGCTGTTAAAGTAGGTATAAATGTATAATAAATTAAATTCCATTTGAATAGGAAGTTCAATTATGTCATTCAGAATAAATCACTCATTGGAGACATAAATATGATAAATAATGCCTAAATCGTTGTCATTTAAATGGGTACAACTCCTGAAGAGTTGTACCTTCTTGAACCACATCTTGATGGTATTTTTATAGAGGTCTGGTATTACATTGTTAAAACTTCTACTCAAAAGTTCCCATTCTCCTCAAAGAATGTTTCTCATAGAGCCAGTGATTTGGAAACTTGGGGTTTTCAACAATATTTAATTTCTTCAGTAGCATGAGAAGGAAATGGAGGTGGCAGATTCATGCAGGCACAAGGTGGTTTAGAGATACACAAAAGATACAATTAGAGAATGTCTCAATAAAATCTCTAACCGAGAATCCACTATAATGTTTATGGTACTTATTTAAGAGTTTGTAAATATTTCACCTCATCTGTTAACAAGTATCCGTTTTTCTCTCCCTATTCATCTGTCAGTCTGTGGGGAAGATATTTGGGGAAGGAATTGCTGTTCCATGCCTTCCTCTGCTGGAGGAGACACAATTAATTCAGAAGGAAATACAACTAATTCAAAGAAAGTTTGTTTGGAAAACAGATGATTACCAGATTAGGGGTTACCCCATTTTCAAATCAAATGAACAGGGAGCATACTGTTGGGGTTTTGAAGTGAGGCCACTGGACCTAGACTGCAGACATTCTGAAGCTAGTTCAGAAGTTTCCTGGCTGAAGATCCTTGGGCGAGTCAGTTAATCTCTCTGTGCTCCAGTTTCCTCATCAGACACTGACAGTGGTACAACTCACTTAAAAGAGCAGTTGTTTGGATTAAATGAGCTATAACTTAGAATAATATGGAGCTCACAGTAAGTGCTCAATTGATACTAGGCAATGTTGTTACTGCTTCACTATTGTCTCTCATTGTGAACCCATGTTTATTAACTTGTGAATATGGTGTCATAAAAAGCCTCTCAACTTAGAGGTACTTCAATTCATGAGTATTTATCAAGTCCTTACTGTGGACCAAGGCCTATGTCAGATGACATGAATCCCAAAGTGAATGACACATGACCTTTTTCCTTAAGTAGATTATAAAACTGCAGAAAAAACAAATATGTAAACAATTACTGACAATGGGCTGTGCCAAATACCAGTGCTACTGAAGGAAAATATCAGACCTGTCTAGCCAAGTCAGAGATGGTGACAAATAAATTAATTGCCTCTTGGAACAACATTTAAAACTCTTCTAAAAAAGACAATAAAATTGAGCAGCTTAGCAGCATACAATAGCAATTGCAATGTCCAGCATACAATAAAAAAAAAAAGTTACTAGCATGCAAAGTGGAAAACATGAGCCCCTGACCAGGAGAGAGGGAAAAAAAAATCAATGAATAGAAACAAACTTAGGCATGACAAAGATGACAGATGCAGAAGCAGAGGCTTTAAAACAATTATTGCAAATATCTTCAAAGATTTAAAGGAAAATATGAACATAATGTCAGAACAAATATAAACTTACAATAGAGAAATGGAAACTAGGAGAAGAAATCTGCATTCTTGAACTAAAAAATACATACAATATCTGAAATGAAAGATTGACTAGATGTTTTTAACACTAGTTTAAACAGTGGAGAATATCAATGAAATTGAAGTCAGCAACATAGAAACTACCCATATTAAACATATGGTGAAGTGTGGGGGGCTCAAAAGAAATGAGCAACGTCTAAGTGAGCTGTGAACAAGGTCAGGCACTCTACTGAGATTGTAAGTGTAGTACCAGAAGGCAAGCAAAGAAATGCTGGGAGAAGAAAATTCATAAAAGTAATTCTTGAACCTTTTGAAACTTGAAAAATATAGAAATCAAATGAGTTCAGCAAACTGAAAACTGAGGAACAGGCAGATTTTAAAAAAAGAACATGTTATGTCATAACCAAATTTCTGAAAATCAGTGATAAAGAGAAAATGTTAAAAGCAGCCAGATGAAAAAGGTTCATATGATGTCAGAACAATGATAAGAATACTACCATGTTCCCAGCTTCCCATTAGAAAGGATGCAAGAGACAGTGAGATGGTACAAGGTTGGGGGTGGGGGAGCAGGGAAGGACTTATCAATCTAGAATTTTTTATCCATATTCATCAGAAACTGTGGCAAAATAAAGAGCTTCGGGGACCAAATAGATGGAAGAATTCATTGCTAGAAAATTGACACTACAAAAAATATTAAAGGAAGTTCTTAAGACTGGAAAAATATATACCAGGTGGAAATGTAGATCTAAATCAGAGAATGAAAAGTGCTAATAAAGATAAATATGTAGGTAAATCTAACTCTTTTTCATGTATTTTGAAAGTATTATGTACAACAAAAACAATGTTTGAATTGTAAAGTTTATAAGTGTCAAAATACGTGACAATAACACTAAAAAATGATGAAAAGGTAGCATACCTCATGAGCTTATCCATGAGATATTGGAATATTAGACAAAGTTAGATTACAAAGATAAATATTGCAAACTCTACTGCCACTATTGGCAAAATGATAGAGAAGTATAACTAAGGAGCCCATTAAGATTAATGGAACACTAAAACTACTTTTAATCCAAAAATATTGGAGGAATAGAAAACGGAACAAAGAGCAGATGGGACAAATTGAAAAAAAAGAGCAAGATGTCAATCTTAAATATGTCAAAATAATTAAATTAAGCACAAAGGGACTAAATCCTCCAATTAAAAGGCAGAGATTGTTAGATTGAATACCAATCTAACAAGCAAGATACAATAGCATGTTTCTAAGAAGTGCATATTAAATCTAAAAACAAATAAGTCATAAATTAAAAATGGAAAAAGATATGCCATGCAAATATTAGTCATAAAAGCTAGGGTGCCTATATTCATAACAGACAAAAAAAAAGACTATAAGACAATGGGATAGTGTGTAAAGAGAGCTATTTCACAATGATAAGGACTAAATCAAGAAGATCTGACAACCTTAAATGTGGACATTCCTAATAACAGAGCTTTAAAATGCATGAGGCAAAAACTAAAAGAATTAATGGGAGAAAAATAAATGCACAGTGGAGCTGGAAATTTCAAGACTCCTCCCTCGGAAATAACATGAATAACTCCGATAATAACTAAGGATATACACTTGAAAAGCACTATCAATCAGCTTGATCTATTTGACATTTGTTGAACATTTCATCTAACAACTGCAGAATTTGCATTATTTTCAAGTGCATGTTCACCAAGAATTACAATATGTGAAGCTATGTCAATCTCAACAAATTTTCGAAGATTGAAAACATACAAAGTATGTTCTGTAACTATGAAAAAATTACCAATAATAGCAAAAAGAACTGGAAAATTCCCAAGTACTTGGAAATAAAGCAACATACTTCTTATAAGCTGGTTTTCTCTTGAAAAATTAAGTCTATCATGAAAATTTAAAGACAGGAATAAGGTCCTTAAAACCCCATTCTTTATATACCATTGTAGGGGCCCAACAACAGGAAGTAGTTCTAGAATTCTGTAAGAGATGTACTTTAGGGTTTCCAGGTTGTAAAACTGTGGTTTCTTGTTTGTTGTTTCCTTTTTAAAGACACTGCTGGCTGGAGCTAGTAGTAACTCAGGTGTTTTATACACCGGCAAAACGAATCCAATTATCTTGAGACCTTTCTATAGTAAAGGGAGAAAAAATAGGAGGAATCAAATAGAATATCAAAAACTATGGGGAGTCAAAAAGTGCTGGGACAGGTGACACGGTGGCTCACGCCTGTAATCCCAGCAGGTTGGGAGGCTGAGGCAGGATCAAGAGTTCAAAGCCAGCTTCAGCAACTTAGTGAGGCCCTAAACAACTCAGCAAGACCCTGTATCTAAATAAAATACAAAAAAGGGCTAAGGATGTGGCTCAGTGGGTAAGCACCCCTGTGTTCAATCCCTGGTACCTGCCCCCACCCCAAAAAAGAAAAAAACGTGCTGAGACAACCAATAAATTTTTTATTGTGTGCATTTGAATTTGTGTGTGTGTGTGTGTGTTGTGTGTGTGTGTGATTTCATAGAATCTGCAGTCCTTTCAACAGGGTAATAAATCCACACTGCCAAGACATTAATCAGTAAAAACTAGAAATTCACATTTTGAATCATTCTGTCACCCTTTGCCAGTCAACTCCTTCATGCAAAATTTCTTGCTGGAAATAAATAGCATAAACTCAATTATTAATCATCAACAAGCTAAACAGAACTGTCTTTTCTTTATCAGATTTCTATTTTTCTGGTGTATACTTCTTAAGAACCTGTAATTATGAACATTTTAGGTTGAGAGTTCTTCCCTGCCGGACTAGAGTCTCACATGGGTGTAAAGTGATTAGAGATCAAGAACGATGTCAAAGAAAAGGATTGTAAGAGTGGATGATATCACCAAGAATAATTAAAATAATATTTTATAAAGATCAACTACATAATTCAGATAATCCACGTGTTGGTAGTAGAGAGTCTAGACTCCTTTCCAAAACTTCGGAAAATATATCACAGCATTTATATGAGAAAGGAAGTATTTATTGAAGCTTATGAAAATTGGAACCTTTATAAATATCAACTAAGCCAAAAAAATAATTTCCATTTTCTTTAAGCCAAGAGGGATTTGTGAAAGTTTTCCCCATCTTTTTCAGGAACCATCTATCTATACATCCAGGAAATGGATTCATTAAGTAAAGATGTCAGTTCCCAGACTTTCATTTGTGGAGTGACTATAAAGAGTGAAAATTAAATATTGGAGCGTAGGCATGAATGGATTTTCATTTCTTCCTATAGTCATCCATACACACACATATGCACAGTTATTCTTTGGGTACTTTTCCCGAAGCCTGAGTCCTGGCAGAGAGAATAAAAGCAGCATGAACATGATGAATAAGAAAGTGTGTCATGGGTAAGGGCCTGGTTTCTGGGGACTCCGCTGGTGGAGGAGGTAGGCACTGATTCCCCAGCAGAGCTGATGGCAAAGCCAGCTGGAGGGTTCAGATAAGCGGGGAGGGCACGGGCAGGGCCCTGAGATGAAACTGCCAGCCTGTCTGCACGCCTCCCGGGCCTACAAACCTTACTCATTGTTCAAATCCAAACTTAGGGGTCACCTTCAAGCCTTTCTAGGATGTAGGGAGACTTAGAATCAAAGAAAATAAAGCAGATAATAAAAATGGCAATTATTAACTCTAAAAAATTTTTTAATTGTATGACAAAAGGGGAAGTATTTATGGAGCAGCACTTGCCTCAATGGTAGATGACACTGACATTCACAATAAGGAAAACATGGAACATAGATTTTTAAGAAAAAAGAGCAAATGAGAGATGATTATCCAGGGAGAATAAAGTGGGGGAAGTCAGGTGCATGTGAATGAGCTCAAAGATTTATCTACCATCCAGGAAGGCAGTAGCTGGTGTCTGAAAGTACTGAATGAAGAGCTATTATTTTTAAATACAGAAAGAAAAAACAATTATCTGAGATGACAGCATGATTAGATGAGAGGAAGCATGACAAGGCAATGTAATGTATTTTGTTCAAAACTTTTGATACTGTTTGGCTTGCATTTGCATATAAAACTGTGTTGAATTTTTTTAAAAGATTGTTTAAAAGTAGGCTTTCCAGACCTCCCCACCTGCCCATCATGGGCCTCCTCTGTAATGTGCCACATGCATGCCTCCCCTCTGGACCAGAAGGATCGTCTTATTCAGATGCACTTGCTCTGAAGATTCAAGGTTTTCTTCCTGATCCTCCAGTTGGTCCAGAACCTGGCCTCCCTGGCCAATCCCACCACAAACCTTCCCAATACCCACTGCGCTTGTCATCCTGCTAACCATGACAACACAGTCCCACCTCCTACCTTTGCTTATGTCAGACTCCTGGACCCCCAAAAAACCAGAGCCTCCTCATGGCCTGGAATATAAGTTTAACTGTTGAAACATGTAAAAAACAAAATCTCCACACGCTTTCTCAATATCTTACCACATTCTCTTCCTTTTCTGCTGTGGAAACACTCTCAGGCTCGCCTCCATATTAAAGTCGACATTCCTTGATAGAAAGCTTTGCCTTTTAAAAAATTATGTGATGAAACTTTTGTAAATTGTGCTCCTAAACAAATAATAAAAGGGCCCAATATATAGAACCCAAGAAGTAGGTATGATTTTAATTTCAAAAATAATTTTTCCTACCTTTGTCCTGTAATCTTAAATAGGTCTTAATTACTCACTAAATGATTATTTTTTCCCCTCTTTCTTTAACTCAGTCAGACCATTTAGAGGATTCATTTGATGAAGTACTGAGGAATCTAATTGTTTAATGGGCAGAAATTAGTGCCTGCAAGAGTACTTTAAAACTGGCAAATGCCAGGCATAATTACAAATTCTTTAGAAGAATCTATTTCTGTACAATAGGTTAATTGGTTATAAGTAGACAACACTGGCTACTGCTTAAACCCAGCTTCCAATTTCATCCATACCTTTTTTTTTCCATCAAATATAAGTGGCTAATTGTGATCAAATTAGGCCCCTTAAAGGAACAATTGGCTACTTATGCCTGATTTTCAAGATTTAAGTGATCCGACACACCTGCAATTAGCTTCCCTCCAGCACAGTGCATACAGACAAGAGTCTTGTCTCATGATGGGAACTCTGGAGTCACATGGCCAATGTATAGTTTGGATTATGTGGTGCTGAGGATCGAACCCAGTGCCTCACACGTGCCAGGCAAGCGCTCTACCGCTGAGCCACAACCCCAGCCCTCAAAGCAATTTTTAAGAAAATTTTAAGCCAAGACAGCGATAGGGTGAAATTGGTTTGGGGCTGGCTGGCCCACATAACTGCCTCAACCCTCTGGTCTCTCTGCACATGGTGGCTCATTCATTTAGGTGATTCTGGAAGGTACTTAACTCTCCTTTGCTTCTCTCCATCTTAGTGGTGCAATCTGTGCATTGACTTGGTAGCCTTCACCAGTGAAATATTCAAGGGAGCAGTTTTCCAGTCGTTGGATGGAATTATTGTCTCAGCAAACTGTAAGCTACGAAAAATCTTCACCTTAAAATCAAAGCCTCAAGACACTGCTGATAAAGATGGTATGTTTTGCTATCACGACTTTAAAATTCTCTGTTGTATTTTTTACATTATGCATGCCTTTGGAATAGTATGGGTGTGTGGTAGCCATTTGATTTTATGTCTGCTAAAGTAAATTTGCTCAAAATCATGTTGATTTCTTTATTCTGGATCAAATGTTTATTTTTACTATAGCTGAATATCACAAAAAAATCTTTATTTTTGTAGCTCATTTCTCCTTTGTTTATGGTGACTTTGTCATCTGAGTTAGGATTCTTGGTTGGAAACAACAGAATCCTTTTAAGGTGATTGAAACAGAAAAGGGATTTATTTAAGGAAATAGCGAATTTATAGACTTTCAGGGATATCTAGAGTCAGGCTTAGTATCTAGAGCCAAGAACAAATTCAAGTCCTATCACAATACTGCTTCAGGGACACCCCTCCCCCATAGCTACTGCAACAATGCAGACTCCATGAGACTCAATATAACACGGGGCTCTGGGTTCCAGAATTTCTCTTACAGCAGCTCCTGATAGTAAGTGCCTACTTCTCTGCCACCCTCTCCAGAAGTTGATTTCTTCTCAGTGAACAAAGTCTGACCTGGCTGTGTCTGATTTGTGGAGCCTCAGTAAGCAGCCAAGGAGGCCAGTAAATCTCATGTCTGATTCCTGACTTTGGAGGCAGGATTCACTGTGTGGGAAAATCACCACAAAAGGAGGGGTATGCAAAAGATAGCAGGCCTCCAGAAAGTTCTGCAGTTGTCTGTACTATGTTTTTACTCTGTGTACATTTCATGAAGTCATTTGGCAGCAACCATATTAACTTCTAGTGATCACGTTAAAATAGACAGTTGAGCTCCTCTTAAAATTAGTCCTAGAGAGACTAGAAATATATATAAATTATCCATAATTGATTAATAAATATATTCTGCAAGTGACTCAGCCACCTAGAATTCATAAGTTGAATATCACCCTGCGAAATGGTTTTAAACAACCAAAAGTATTGAAAAAAAACTGATACTTCCTTTTGTTTTTTTCATCTGGGATTATTTATCTAATATCAAATCTCTAGAAGCACAAGAAGCAGGGCTGCTCATAAGATGTCATAGGAGATTATTTTAGACATTTATCTCTATAGAGTTTAGACTTGTGCTCCATCTGCATGAGTGTAGGTGTACAGTACAGGAAACCCTTATGTGGCTCACTCTGTGCACCAGGACACTGTGCCTATAAATTCTTGTGATAGTAAAACACAGCTCCCCAAAGAGATCAGGAGCCATCAAGTGCAGCTGCTTGTCTTATATGCCATAAAGTGCAGCTGCTTGTCTTATATGGGGAAGTGAAAGATATTACTTTTAAAAATGGAGCCCAGCTAATAAGAAGCCTCAAAATGTACAGAAAGAAATGTGTACTATTTACATCAGATCATGGGAGATGGTTCATAACCTGACTGATAAAAATGTAAAGAAAAAAGCAGATCAAACATGTCAAGTTAAATGCATGTTTTAATCTCTAATCCTTCCTCAAGCACCACTAAAATCACAGGAATAATTTTTTTAAAAAAAGGCATAAGTACCTAAGATAAAGAGGATGGGAAAAGAGACAAAAACTGATGAAAGATGTTGCAAGTTTCATAAGCTCAAGAAGTGACTTAGAAGAGCAAAGATGGCTGAAATCTTGAGGCTTACTGCTCTTGAGGTCCGCTGATGGGTTTCAAAGATGTTCATGAACAGGCAGCTCCAGTAGGGTACCAGGTATGGTTAAAAACTGGGAGAGTGGTTAAATTCTGCTTAGGTTGCTATAGGACCCCAGGCCCTCTCTGACTCCATATAACCAAGCAGGAAGAGATTTATTCTCTGGACAAACCTAACCAGAGAGCTTCTGAGCTCAGATACATTAAGTGTGTGATAGATGAAAAAACTAACGGGAAGAAGGAAATATTTTTTTTCTCAGAATTAATGAAAGATACTACACATATAAAATAAGAATAATTTGAATAATGTGTTCTTTCTTGCCTTCCATAAGATTTTCTTGAAGTATATTATGTTTCTTAATTTATATATATACACACACACACATACACGCACACGCACACACACACACACACACAGTTTGTGGAATTTCAAGAAATAGAACATTACCAACATCCTCTAAGCCTGACCCTCTCCCTCTCCTGAGTGGCTACTTCTGTCTTTGCTTCTACCAGATTAACTTTATCTGTTTTTGACCTTTATAGAATTGGAATAACCTAGTACATATTCTTTCTTATATGCACTATTTCTCAGAACATTATGCAAGTCATCCATGTTATTGAATGATACAGTAATTTGCTGGGTTTTAGTATACTATGCCACTATATGAATAAGCCTCATTTTATTTATTCTTTTAGGATGATTTGAATAATGCTGCCAGAACATTCTTCTGTGTGTCTCTTTGGACCATCTGTGGTAGAAGCTGTTTTTTTTCCAGTATTTAGGAGCTGAATAATTGCATGCTTCAGCATTCTTAATTTCAATTATTGTGTTTTTTGACTATACGATTTCATTTGATTTCTTTTTATAGTTTCCATTCCTCATATGAAATTCTCCATGGTGTTATCAAATATCTCAACTATATTAATCAAAGCTATTTTAAAGCTTATGGCTCATAACTCCAGTATCTGAATCCCCCAGGTATCTGTTTCTTTTCTCTAATTAGTTTTCTCTTGGTATGCCTGAGTATTGAGTTAATGCTAGACACTGGATATCAAAAACTCTGGAGATCTGGATGGTGTTTTCCTACACTAAGAGACATAGAACCAAAAATAAAATAAAGAAGCCCAAAAGACTGAAAATATGATGGAAATATTAACAATGTTAGAAATTAGCCCAAGGAGTCCACCATCAGAGTAACAGGGTTCCAAGAAGAAAGGCTACAGTAAACAATGAAATAGTAGGATTTCCAAAAATTGAAGTCAGGATATTTTCAAATTGACATAGCCCATCACATCATGTAAGTTTCCAGAATTTTTAGAAATACAGTTCATGTACAAAGGATCAGAAATAAAGGAATAAGAAAGACTTTGTAACAGCAATGTTAAGTGACAGAAGACCTTGAGAGTCTACCTTGGAAAATTTAAGGAAACGTTATTTTCAACCTAGAATTCTACACTAACACAACTATCAATCAAATGAATGCAAAATGAAGATACAAGATTTTGAAAACTTATTTACATCATTTCTCAAAAAAGATTTGGAAGATACTCTCCACAAAAATGAGAGTAGATCCAGAAAAAGGAGGAAATATAATTTATGAAACAAAGAGTTCCATCCAGGGAAAAAGCAAAGGGAAAATGTACACTAGAAAAGTAAAGTTTAAAAAAAAGGCAAAGAAAGTTTACAAAATATTTATAGTCAAAGGAGTTTGAAGGATGAAACTAGGCAGCACATTCAAAGTTGAACAGAAAAATAGAGACTTTCAGGAGGAAAGTCTTCAGGAAAAGAATGTACCTGATAGAGTTTGATGTGTTTGAATGTAGAAAATAAAAATGATGGTGATTTCACAAGGTTAATGGGAAGTTTAGGAAGAAATGATATTTTGGATATGGAAAATCCATGACAAAACAAACCAATGATCAACTCCAAGGAAAACAAGAAGCTATACCAGAAAAGAAACACACTCATAGTATGTCATATGATTCAAAGGTGCACAACTTTAAAAAAAAATTATATATATATATATATATATATATATATATACACACACACACACACACACACACACACACACACACACACTTTACTTTTTGGCAATTTTAGATTCACAGCAAAATTAGGTAGATGGTAAGTTTCCATATGGCCCCTCCCCCACACATACACAGCCTCCCACACTGTGAGCATCCATACCAGAGTGGTCCAGGGTGGTGTGGAGAATAACCCCATATTCCTCTTAGCATTTAACTTGAACCTTGTATAAATATCTTCATATTGCAGTTCCCTTACTATTAACATAAGCATGATAATTGTTCCTTGGTTAGGTAAAATACTGTTATTATGTTTACAGTGAAAGCACAGCATGTGTAAACCGAGTACACCCTGGAGAAGTGAAGTTGGTATTGTAGATCCCAAAGACATGGGTCAGTGTTCCCACAGTCCACTGCTGTGATCACACGCCAACTTTGTGGTTTTGTGTGAGCCTTCAACATCTCTGAGCACTGTTTCCTCAACAACTGAGATGAGGTTATTGTAAGATCATTGCAACTACCCAATCATATACAAAAACATATGTGAAAAGGCTATAATGCACCGTGCAGTGTTAAACATTTATTTATCTTCTACACATCAGGCAGTGGGATGACAAAGCCCATTTCAAGGAATCCAGGGACTCACAGGTAAGTTTACACGTCAGTGTTAATACCCATGGTAACTTCCCTATGAGCTTAAATAGTATGGGAAGAGAGTCTGGAGCCCCTTACTCGGGAGAGCCATTTGGTGAAGCACTTAGATTATACAGGCCTATCAAGTTAAGAAAAATGTAAAGCCTGCTGTAAAACTGCCCACATCTGGATTTGCTAAAGCAGAAGATTAAAACAGACACAAGAAAAACTACAATTATTCTGACTCTTTCATTAAAGAAAGACGATTTAAACATGCACACAAATGCCTGCACAGACTAGGAGGGTCTTAATTTCAGAATACAGGGTGACTTTTTTTTCCATATACCAGTGGATTAGTACCTGTCCATAGAGCACTCTTTGAGATATACTGACCTAGGCAGAATATTAACTTTCCAAATGCTTCATGAAGAAAAAATAATAATTTCCCAACAAAATAGGTGGGGCAATGAGAAAAGAAAGTGTTTCAGACAGAGGAAAGAGAGAGGGGGGGGATGGGGAGAGGGAGAGATGCACATGCATGGCATTGTGAAGTTCAAGGAAAGCATTAGCATGGTGCATGGCAGGATGGCGGTTGTGATACTGCACAACCAGGCTGCAAGGTTGAGATGACATAAAAATGTAGCACACAAGTCCTTTCCCCTGAGTTCTA